AAAAATAGTATTAAAATATTTATTTTATTGCCAAATGATTATCGAAATAAGATAAAATATTTGGAAATTAAAATATGGAATAGTAAGATATAGAGTAAAATATAGAATTTGTAAAAAAACAAATATACAAATATATAAATAATCGTAAAAAAAGGATCGTTATAATTTATAGTAGTCCGTTTTATTACTGAAATTGCTGAATTAAATCTGTCAAATTAATAGAGATTTCAACGATTTCAGCGATTTATTTCCATCAGGAGCATTGCAAAAAAAAATGTATATTGTTGTTTAATTAACATCCACTTTAGAGGGCAACTTTATCAGCCATGTCGATATTGTTGTATGTAGTTTATATGATTTTATAAAAATGATGTTGGTGTCGCTAGTGTAGAAAGTTTTCAAGCATTACATGAATAAGGTGAGGATGGTTGTTCTCAGGGTTCTTTCTGGTACATGACAATATTTTTTTAGTAATTTAGCACTTGATCACAGTTCATGTGTAATCATTTCATCTTCCCTTTTCTCTTGCGATCAGTTTCACTATTCAGTTTTAATGTAATTTAAAAAAGAAAGGAATTCCAAGACTGTTCTTCGAAGATTTCTGATCTTATTGCCCTTATTTTCTCACGAATTTTAAATCCAAGAATTGTCGTCATATTTTCAATATGTCAAGAAAATATGAGACAAATTTGTCAAGGGATTTGTTGAATAGGTGATTGATACATTTATGACATGGCATATAAATAAATGTGATGTCTATGATTGTGAAAATAATAAAATGTAAACAATGAACAGAAATAAGTGCTTCGTATTATATTCTTATGTGTTAAAATAATTAAGGTTAGTGTATTTGCAAAGTCTTCTTTTATTAAGTTGATTGCATAGCGTAGGACTAAGCTTGTATTATAAATGATTTTTTTAGACTGCTTTTTAATCTACAATTTTTTTTTATTTAAACAGTTTTTTAAATTATACTATTATTCCTTTGTATTTTACATAATGCTTAATTAGGAATATTTAATTTATTATAAATTTCATTTGCTGTTAATGTCAGTTTATTGCTTACGTTTGATCAAACTGTGTATTTTTCAGTAATTTGAATGAATAATACTTTCACATAGAGATATTATATTTGATTATGCTTGAATTTATTTGTCTAATAGTAGCTAAGCTTTAATTAGTTTTTATTTGAAGTATGCATGGTTTTGTTTAGTTTTGTTCGAGTTAAAATGTCCAATTCAGAGGCTGGTGTAGGATGCATTAGTGAGGTAACACTTGCGATTAGCAAAGCAAGAAAATCTCAGACAGGCACTGTGAGAGTTCTTGATAGTCCCAACTCTGATGGATCTGGTCACTCGAATACATTTACTGTGCAACGATTTAATTATACCAATGATAACAGTACCAACTCAGGTATTCTTGAGTCACCCCTTACTAGCGATGACTTGAGAATACCTATTGTTGGTTATGAGATCATGGAGGAGAGAGCTAGATTTACAGTTAGTTAATTATATCAATGATTATATAGTTTTATTATATCATGTTAAACTTTATTAATATTATTTTAATATATATTTTTCATTAATATAACACAAATATAAATATTTTACAATTTAGTACAAATATATTAGACAGCAGTATATATATTTTATTAACTTCAACAGTAAACTTTATAAGTAATATTTAAAATGTGATACAGTAATGTTATCTAAAATATAAAATTATATAGAAATTGTTTTATTGCGTTACATCAATGTTTTAAATGTAAATTCTTTTTATGTTTTTGGTATAGGTCTACAAACTTAGAGTTGAATTGAAAAATGGTGATTGTTGGTTTGTATTTCGAAGGTACACAGACTTTGTTCGACTGTTAGCGCAATTAAAAAGGCAAAAAGTTCCTATTGCCCATTTGGTTTTACCAAGAAAAAAATGGCTTGGTGATAATTTTGCTCCAAGTTTTTTGGAAGAAAGAATATGTGGTCTTCAAACATTTGTTAATGGTATATTGAATAGTCCACTTCTTATTGGTGTTTCGTGTGTAAGGGAATTCTTCTGTTTGGATGAGCCTCCTGCTTTATCTGATACAGCGGAAGAATCTAGAGTGAGTTGTAATATAAATTACATTTATGAATCTTAATTTTTTTCATGTGTTACTTTGCTTTACAAAATATTTAATCTTTTTAGGCAATTTTTGAAGCATTAGAAGATACAATATATAATTTGAGACAACAATTACGAGAACGTGATGCAGCCCTTGCATCTGAAAAAGCTCTCTGTAATGAATTCCGAAAGAAGCTTCATCAGATATTCAGGTAAGCAATAAGAAAATACTTTCCTTTTTTTATGTAACAAATTTTCAACTGTTTCAGTGAAAGACAAACCTGTTCAAAATGTGGTGCAACTCAATAATAATTTTATAGACTGTACAAATGTAAGATCTGCTTGAGTTAATTTATATATAAATTTTTTTTTTGATACATTATATATATATATATATATATATATATATATATATATATATATAAATTTATATTTACAACTTATCTATGAAAAATTTGTTTTTATATTGAAAATATTGTATAAGATACTGATTAAAGAGTGTATTCTCCTCAATTTTCAAGGAAAAGATGTATGAATCTTAAATAATTAGTATTTTACTTTTTATAAAATTTATATTGAATGAAATGTTTAACCACAATGTTTTTTCTGAACATCAGATTATATATAATATAATTTTCTGTTTTTTTCATTACGGTGAACTAATTCTTTGTTCAGCCGGCTACATAAAAGATTGAGAAGAATAAAAAGTAACTTTTATATAATTTGATATTTAGATAAAATATTATGTGTTCTATAAAACTTTATCCTTACTAAGAATATACTTGGCATGAGACGCTACTGTGTGTCTCTTAATTTAATCTATCTTTTATTTATTTATATAAAATTATCATTAACTGTATAAAATTCGAATGATAATTTTACTATATATATTATTACTTATAGAAAAAATATTACAAAAAAGTATAAGTATGTTATTAATTAAAATTTTATGTTTTAAAAATACTAATTTTAATATAACAATATTGTTAGATATAATAAATGTCTGACATTGTGTACATAAAAGAGTATATTGTAATATAAATGCGTTATTTTGTTATCTAGACACTTATTATATCTAAAACGTGTAAAAAATAATTTAAAATTAAAATATTGTAATATTGCATTATTACAGTATATAAATTATTATTTTTCCTAACTGTTCGCGTGTTGTATATTTCGGTATTTTTTTATATACACATTTATACACACGCGCGCGTGCGCACGCACATTCTTAAAAAATAGAATAATATATATAAATCCATTAAATACAGAAATTCTTCAATTTTTTAATATAAGGTATGTTGTTGATTTTTTTATGCTTATTACAAGAATGGAATTTGCAATTTATTTTGATAATAAAAAATGTGTAGTATAAAATAATGCCGTTTTTTAATGCATATATGAGCAATTATTATGTATATATGTGTATATACTTTATATTTATATATATATATATATATA